ACACTAGAGAGCATAGGACTACATGGAGTCTTCCTTAAAATGATAGGTAACATTTATCTAAAACAATCAGCAAGCATTATATGTAATGGAGATAAGCTAGAAGCATTTCCAATAAGATCAGGGGTTAAGCAGGGATGTCCATTATCACCACTATTATTCAATACCGCCCTGGAAATGTTAGCTTTAGCAATAAGAGAAGAAAAAGAAATTGAAGAAATTAGAATAGGCAAAGAAGAAACAAAACTATCACTCCTTGCAGATGATATGATGATATACTTAGAGAATCCTAGAGAATCAAGTAAAAAAATTACTTGAAATAATAAACAAATTTAGCTAAGTTGCAGGATATAAAATAAACCCACACAAATCATCGACATTTCTATATGTTCCTAACAAAACCCAACAGCAAGAGATAGAAAGAGAAATTCCATTTAAAGTCACTGTAGACATTATGAAAATATTTGGGAGTCTACCTGCCAAAACAAACTCAGAAACTATATGAACACAATTACAAAACACCTTTCACACAAATAAAGTCAGATCTAAATAATTGGGAAAATATCAGTTGTTCATGGGTAGGCCAAGTTAATATAACAAAAATGACAGTTCTACCTAAATTAATTGACCTTTTCAGTGCCATATCAATCAAATTAAAATTATTTTATAGAGCTAGAAAAAAAATAACAAAATTCATCTGGAAGAACAAAAGGTCCAGAATATCAAGGGAACTAATGAAAAAAAAATGCAAAGGAAGGTGGCCTAGCTGTGCCAAATCTCAAATTGTATTATAAAGCAGCAATCATCAAAACTATTTGGTGGTGGATCAGTGGAATAGGTTAGGTGTGCAAGACATAACAGTCAATGACTATACTAACCTACTATTTGATAAATCCAAACACTCTAGCTTCTGAGATAAGAACTCACTATTTAACAAAAACTGCTGGGAAAACTGGAAAATAGTGTGGCTGAAACTAGGCATAGACTAACATTTACATCCTATACTAAGATAAAGTCAAAATGGGTACATGATTTAGATATAAAGACTGATACTATAAGCAAACTAGGACAGCAAGGAATAGTTTACCTATTAGATCTGTGGAGAAGGGAAGAGTTTATGACCAAACAAGAGATAGAGAACATCATGAAATGCAAAATGGATGACTTTGATTACATAAATTGAAAAGTTTTTGCATAAACAAAGCCAATGAAACCAAGATTAGAAGGGAAGTAGAAAGTTGGGGAACAATTTTTACAGCCAGTGTCTCTGATAAAGGCCTCATTTCTAAAATATATAGAGAACTGAATCAAATTTATAAGAATACAAGTCATTCTCCAGTTGATAAATTGTCAAAGCATATGAACAGGCAGTTTTCAGAGGAAGAAATTAAAGCTATCTATAGTGATATAAAAAAAAATGCTCTAAATCACTATTGATTAGAGAAATGCAAATCAAAACAACTCTGAGGTACCACATCACACCTATCAGATTGGCCAACATGACAAAGCAGGAAAATGATAAATGTTAGAGAAGATATGGGAAAATTGGAACACTAATGCATTATTGGTAGAGTTGTGAACTGATCCAAACATTTTGGAGAACAATTTGGAACTATGCCCAAAAGGCTATAAAATTGTGCATACTCTTTGACCCAGCAATACCACTTCTACATCTGTAACCCAAAGAGATCACAAAAACAGGAAAAGGACCCACATGTACAAAAATATTCATAGCAGCTCTTTTTGTGGTGGCAAAGAATTGGAAATTGAGGGGATGCCCATCAAGTGGGGAATGGCTGAACAAGTTGTGGTATATTAATGTAATGGAATACTATTGTACTATAAGAAATGATAAGCAAATGGACTTTAGAAAAACCTGGAAAGACATATATGAACTGATGCTGAATGAAATGAGCAGAACCAGGAGAACATTGTACACAATAACAGCCACATTGTGCGATGACTGACTGCGATAGACTTCGCTCTTCTCAGTAATGCAAGGATCTAAGACATTTCCAAAAGACTCATGATGGAAAATGCTATCCACATCCAGAGAAAAAAAACTATGACGTCTGAATGCAGATGGAAGCATACTATTTGTTCTCCTTTTCTTTTGTTGTTTTGCTTTGTTTCTTCTTTCTCTTGGTTCCTCCCATTAGTTCTAATTCTTTTTGACATCATGACTAATGTGAAAATATGCTACATATGAATGTAGAAGTAGAGCCTATATCATATTGCACACTGTCTTGGGAAGAGGGAAGGAGACGCAGGGGGAGAACATTTAAAACTCAAAAGCTTACAGAAGTGAATGTTGAAAACTAAAAATAAATAAATTACTAAAAAAAATGAAAAAGTTTGTACACCCACCAATTCTGTCCCCAGGGAGCCAGATAATAATGGCTACCTTGGGGAACGGGCCCTCTTACAGCTTTTCATGCTCTTATCCACCCAATCTGAGGCAAGAATTCCTGGATCTCAAGTTCCTGGTCCCATCCGTAGGAGAGACAGTGGCTTATCCTCTCAGACTGAGAAACAGCAACTTTGGGAAGGGGTGCCATGTATATTCATGGTAGGAGTTCTTAAAACCCCTTCCATCTGAAGAAGTGTCAAGATCTTTGAACTATTGGCAATCTGAAAATGTCTTAGTAATGTGGTGGTGGGGATGGGAAACTGGGGATGACTGGGATAGAGCCTTATTGGAAATGAAGGCTCCTACATTCCTCGTTCTGTTGTGCACTTACCAGTTCCCACATCTCAATTCTAAAGGCTAGATTGATGATGATTCTTATTATTATTATCATTTTAAAGCATGACCCTGTCAGCTGTTTCTCCATGCTGTTAAATACTTGGATTTTATTTTTCTCTTTATATATTTCCCTGTGCTCTCCCCTTGATTCCTATGTAAATAAAAGTTTCACTGTAACCAAACGGGGACACACCCAAACACAGAGTTCTCAGACCAAGTGTTCAGAAATATTGAGTTATTTGAACAGTGTAGATTCAATAAGGAAGTTGCCTGTTTCTGAGTGTCCAAGTTAATTTCCTTCTAGGGGGAATTCAGTCACCTAAGTGTAGTTCCATAAGGAGGGAGGCCTATTAGGTTCCTAGGTATAAAGGACTTCACTGGAATATTGGCGGCTGCACCTCTAGCAATAACTTCTCTTCTAAGACTGTCTAAACCACTGGATGGTACAAGGAGTCTAATGATTGTACAGGGCCTAGGGGGATGGGATGGTGATGATGACAATGATTATGATAATAATGATAATGATGAATAGGATTTTTATGCCAATTAATAGATTTTTAAGTTTGCTAAACATTTTACATACAGTATTTCATTTGATTCTCACAAACTCTATGAGGTAGATAGCATTATTATCCCATTTACATGTTATCATTAGTTTTCTCAATCAACGTTCATTAAGCAACTAATGTATGCTAGGCATTGTGTGAAATACCAGGAACTGTATGAATTGCAAAGCCTACAAAATAAATCGTCTCTGCTCTCAAGGAGCTTCTATTCTGTATCTGTATATAAGATATATACACACACACACACATACACATATACATGTATATATACATGTATGTATGTGTGTGTATGTATAACAGAAATAGTCCCTGCTCTTAAGGAGCTTATATTCTATATGTGTATACATACATACATACATACATATGACATGTATATTGTGTGTATATATGTGTGTGTGTCTGTGTATAATGTATATTATGTAATGCATATATACCAATGATCAGATATATCATGTATGCATACATGCTTGTACATGCATGTGTACCCGCGTACAGAAACATGTGTGTCTATAAGATACGTGTATTGTGTGTGGGTATATTTTTATGTATATTATACATACATATATTTCGTCATTTGGAGTGGTATTATAATTGAATGAAAAGAACCTCAGACTATGAGCAAAAAGACAAGGATAACTTAGATTATGCATGGATATATACATAGACATTTATGTACACAATGTACTTACATATAATACATATATATTATAAGCACACATGTATCTATGATCATATATATGTATTGTGAGTGCATATGTGTTTATATGTATAGGTGCATATATACATAAAGCACTGTATAGATAAGATCTATATTGTGTATGTACATAATACATATATCTTATATATATATATACATATGTATTATGTGCCTTCATACATAATACATATATTTGATCATTTGCGGTGGCATCATAATAGAGTGAAAAGAACATCAGATTATGAGCACAAAGGCAAGAAGACCTTAGTTTATATGTACATGGATGTGTTTACACATATAAAGATATGAACATATGCACATAGTACATATATTTTTATATACACACATCCATGCACATGTATCAATGACTAAAATGAATTGTGTGTACATGTATGTTTATGCATATATATGTACAGACACACATGGTGCACATAGTACATATATTTTTATATACACACATCCATGCACATGTATCAATGACTAAAATGAATTGTGTGTACATGTATGTTTATGCATATATATGTACAGACACACATGATGCACATATTTCATATAGACACATACAGGATCGAGTTGGGTAAAAGTGAACACCAAAGGTGGATGAGGAGCCCTGAAAAGGGCTCTGCAAGCCCTCACACCAGAGATATTAGCCTTCCCTGAAGACCCCATATACCTTTGGTGTTCACCTCTCACCCAACTCTTACCTGTAGCTCCAAGAGCCTCTAGCATGCACACTGGCCACATCCCAGTAAAACTATTTCAGTAGATGGGCTAAACTAGGTTGAGGGTAACTGATAGACCTCAAATCCATCAGTGAGTTAGGGTGATGTCTACCTGTAACATATGAAGACTTCCTCTAGCGGAATGGGCAGATGAAAACAATTTGTTCCAGTGTCCAAGAAAGCAACTGAAGCAGGTGCTGTGGAGCACTTAGAGCTTGGTCAAACATCAAAGATGCCAAGGTCATCCACTGCATCCTGAGCCATCTCCAATTGTCCTGACTTTTGTCTTGCCACTGGACTTTGATGTATCTGGAAAAGAAGGTGAAGCTGATGACTTTGTGCAGCTCTGACTCACTTAAATCCAATTAACGTGCAAGTTAAGACATCTTAACTTGATGTCTTTGGTCCTCTTTGAAAATGAAGGACAAACAATAATATACAGCTACATACACATATGTATGTATATTTGTATACATATATTATATATAAATCTAGTAGGGGTGCTCATTTAAAAAAAAGTATTGGTCAGATATTTCCCCTTTATCTCTGGATGTATTTCCTTGTGAGACACTTCTACCAAGGAGGGTCAGCACATTCTCTGCCATATAGATTCTGAGAGCATCGCTAAAGCACTGAGAGGTTAAGTGATTTGCCAATGTCACACAGCCAGTAATAATCCATTGATTTTGTTTCCTAAGGGGTAAAGTTTGGTTCTTGTGCAGAGGTGAGAAGGAATACAATGGGGAAGTGTTAGCCTGTAATGATGAAGTTAAGTGTGTTTATGTTGAAAGTAGCCCCATGATTGGCTTACATGAGAATAGGGTGCTTCCTCCCCTCTGACTGACACAAGTCAAACCAAGACCCTTAGTGGACTCCTACACTTTGTAAGCAACTATATTAGAATGCTAGAGTATTAAAAGATAGATTATCTCAGTGGTCTAAGTTGCTATGTGAAGAAGGGAGCCATAAATGCAGTCTGCTGGTCTTTCACTTTCACTTCTATTTCTTCTCACAAAGATTCAAGACTCACATTTATATTTATGCTGTCTGGCCTTTAAATGAGTAGTTATTTGGTGATTTGTCACTTTCTGCTCAGTTTATCTCTTCTGCTAAGAGTTGTCCATCATATTCAAGTATAATAACAAAAACCCCACAGTCTAAATGACAGATCCAAAACTACCCTCCTAAAAGAAAATAAATAAGAAATAATCATTAATCAGAGAGCTAGCCACAATATGAGACACAAGGGTATTCGAGTTCATAGATTGCAAATAATGAGCTGACAGTAATGAGTTTAATTTACACCAGAAATTGAACTTCCCTGGAACCGTGTTCATGACCATGTCACGGGAATTATAAGAGCCAAGAAATAAAAATTGTTATCATTAACCACTTTCCTGCCTCAATGGGGTGAGGGGAGAATGGGGGGGTGGGGCTAGAAGTAGTAATTATCATTTTCCTGTAGAATCATAAAATGTGGGAGATTATTTTAGCCCTATACCTTCTTGAGAAAGGAATCTTTTTTACAACATCCTCAACAATCTTATTCAATTTGAATGAGGAAGAGCCTGCCATATGATTGTGAAGAGGAGACTTAGCTGGGCCATAATACTTTAAACTAAAGAATCTAAAAGGGTTGTCACATGGAAGAGGAGTTAGAAATGCTCTGTGTAACCACAGAGGACAAAACTAGGAGCTTTCAAGGCTTCACTCATTGCTATCTCCTACAGGAAGCTTTTCCTGACCACCCTAGAGGTTGTAGCTCTCTCTAATTTTTTAGTATATGCTTGCCAGTTTAATTTTGAACAATTCTAATTGTTAAGGAAGGTCTTCCTTAAACTAAGCCAAAACCTGCTTCTCTGTAAAGTCAGGCATTTTCTCCAAATACTGTCCTTCTGGAGACAAGGAAAATAGGTCTAATTCCTTTTCCAAATGACAGCTTTATAAATATTTGAAAACATTGATCATATGTTTTCTAAGGTTTCTCTCCTCCAAACCAGAACATAGTGTGACAAACTTTGAGTTAACTTTGCTTCCAGTAGATTGACCTGAAATCCAGATGTGGACCCTTTAAGCAAGGAACATGCATGTGCGCACACACACAATATACATACATATACATATATATATGCGTGTGTATGTATATGTACATATAAAAATAATACATGCATATACATACACATGTATGTATGCATGCATACATGCTGCTTTATATACTGGTGGGGAGAGCCCGGACCTCTTGGAACCTCTTTGTAGGCTGCTTTCACCTAGGCATCATTGAATATATCTTTATTATAATAAGTGTTTATCTCAATAGACAGGACCCAAATGATCCATTATATGAAATTTGGGACCATTCGTGAAACACATTTTCATCCTTAAATGACCTTGGGATGATTTTGCTTTGTTGAGTCTCTCACCAAATTTTCTTTAAACTGTTTTTCTCTACTTCTCTTTGCTTTATAAGATAGCACTGCTCATAATTTCTAATCATCCTTCTCATAATATTTTACAGACAACTCTATATTCAAAACTTCTATTGCCTTAGCTACCAACTCTCTCTCTCTGGCAAGTAAGTTAAGTGTTAGCTGACTAAGCATTTTTTCATTTTCGGCTCCCTTTCATTCTCCAAGTTATAAGAAAAAGAAATTAAGGAAACAAACACATACAAAGAGAAAACAGAATTATGGCTTTTTGCAGATGATCTATTTAAAGAATAATAGGGATTCAACTAAAAGTTAATTGAAATAACTAATAATTTCAATAAAATAGCTAGATATAAAACAAATCTATACAAATCATCAGCATTTCTGATATTACCAATAAAACCCAGAAAGAACGGGCAGAAAGAGAAAATCACATTCAAAATAATTACCACCTATATAAAATAAATGGGAGTTCACTTACCAAGTGAATGTAACTACAAAACACTATTTTCAGAAATAAAGACAGAACTAAATAATTAGAGAAATACTAATTGTTCATGGTTGGACCATTCTAACATAGCCAAAACCATATACTGCCTAAATTAATGTATTTAATTCTATACTAAACTACCAAAAAGTTACTTTCTGTAGCAAAAAAGAAAAAAATAATAATAAAATTAATTTAGGGGAATAAAAGATCAGAATCTCAAGGGAAATAAGAGAGGAAAAGTGGGATATTGAATGATCTGGCAGTACCAACTTTCAACTACAATTAAAAGCAATAAGCATTAAAATTATTTAATAGAGTAAAAAAAATAGAAAAGTTATTCAGTGGGACAGATTCAAAATACAAGATTCAGAAGCCAATTACCACAGTAGCTTAGTATTTGATAAGCCAAAAGAATGCAAATACTGGTGTAAGAGCTCACTATTCGACAAAAACTGATGGGAAAATTAGAAAGTGTTCTGGCAGAAAATAGGCCATCATCTCACAGCAATAACACAAGTTCCAAATAGATAGAAGACCAAGGTATAAAAGAATAGAATGGAAAGGAATACCTTTTGCAACTATGAATAGAAGATTTATTGACGAAATAAGAGATAGAGAGTATCAAAGGAGATAAAATGGAACATTTTGATTACATAAAGTTGAAAAGCCTTTGCAAAAACAAAATCAATGCAGTTAAAATCATAGACTCATAGATTTTAAATTGTAAGAAATCTTAGAGATCAATGAGTCCAACCCCCTCTCTTTAGAGATGAAGAGGCATATAGAACAGCACAGCTAGTAAATGTTTGAGTTGGGAAAAAGATCTTTGCAGCAAGTTTCTCTGATAAATATCTGACATCTGAGATAAATAAGGAGATGAATTAAATATATAAGAACAAAATCCATTTTCCAAAAGAAAAATGGTCAAGGGATATAAACAGGTAGTCCTCAAAAAAAGAAAAGCAAGCTACCAACAGCCACATAGAAAAACACTTTGAATTACTAAAAATAAGGGAAATGAAAACTAGAATAACTCTAAGGCTCTATGTCACACCAGATTGGCAAAGATGACCAAAAAGGACAGTTGCTGGAGGATATGTGGGAAGACAGGCACACTTCTGGTGGAGCTATGAATTATTACAGCCCTTCTGGAAGGTAACTTAAAACCAACCACCCCCACCTTCAAAAAATTACTAAAATGTGCATGCCCGTTGGCCTAACAATACCACTAATAATCCTATAGCACAAACAGAAGAAAGAAGAAAAAAAAACCATAAGTTCAAAAAGTTTTGTTGTAGGAAAGAACAGGAAACAGAACATAAAGAGAGAAGGCTTTCATAAAGAGATGTTTAAATGAAAGAAAAGGTAAGAACCTGTGATTAAGAGGAGGTTAGAACAAAGACTGAAAAAAGTGCAAAGAATAAAATGGATAGAAATATACTATTAATGATAGCGATCATAGGATGAAATCACCCATAAAATAGAAGAGGATTGCAGAATGGATAGGAAGGAAGAAAGGAAGCAATGACATCAATAAAGCATTTAAAATGCACAGAAGAGAAAAGCACAAGGTTTAGAGGGAAACAGATAAGTAGAACAACTTTTGGAACTAATGTGCTGAATTTAATATATGCTGAAAAAAACCCAAAACTATACACAGTAAGATTCAGGGTTTTATATATAGTGCTCTTTTTTTTAATTCTTCTTTGCATACAGAAATGTTTAGAATAACAAAAAAAAAATTTAAATTAAAAAAAAAATAAATTCAGTGGATTGCTGAATACCACAGTAATTGTTAGTATTGTAGTAGTCACCAGCCAAGGATGGTGTCATTTTCCTTCAGTTAAAATGTCATGAACTTTTGGTTAATTTACTTACTTCAAAGTAGTAAGGAATGAGGTTGAGGGTAAGGAAGAGAATTTCTTTATCAGTGTGGGAGGCAACAGGCTTGTCAGAGAACAACAGGTTAACAAGTATAGCAACTTCATTATCGTGGTCTTGATGAATTTTTTTAATGGGTGAATGTGAATGTAAAATTTAAATCTCTCTAAAAAGATTTTAGAAAATCTTGAAAACTGAAATAACAGAATGATTGAAAAGAAATGAAAAACAGGAATTTTTTTTAAGCTTAAAAGATAAATTAAAATAATGGGAAGGATGCTAAAACACCTCCCAATGATCTGGTTTTCCAGGACAAATCAGACATAACCACTCAGCAGAGGGAAAGCACAGATGTCTTAAAGAAAGTTTATGTAAACTCTCAGCAGCTGAACCTGCAGTTGGCAGCTGAAGCATTGCTGAAAGGTTTAGGAGGCAATGACAACAAAGCTATGTCCTACCAGCTGTTGGACTGACCAGTCTAGAGATAAATGTCAAGACTCTCTTTGCACAGG